TTAAAAGACATTAAATAGATTTAAACTTATTCCTTTTTAGTCTATATTAGTCACTTTTTAGAACAGAAGTTCTGTAACTAAAAATGAGTTTTTGTATTGTATGGCCAAGAACCATAACTTCTTTTCACATTGGGACCGTTATACTTAAATTTGAAGCAACAAAGCTAAACAAGATTTCCTGATAAAATTTGGGTATCTGGTTTGATATGATTCATTATGGACTATTGGGAGTCCAATGAAATTTGCTTTTGGAGATAGACAGGAAGTGTCAGCATTAGGTCTATAGTTGGCAATTCATTTGTGTGCTTTTTGAAGACAGGGTTTCACTCTGTCATCCAGGCTGCAGTGCAGTGGTGCAATTCCAGCTCACTGCAGCCTCCACCTCTTGGACTCAGTGAGTCTCCCATCTCAGTCTCACAAGTAGCTGAGCCTAGAGGTGTGCACCACCATGCCTGGCTCATTTTTTTTAAATTTTATTTTCTTGTAGAGATGAATTCTCACTATATTGTCCAGGCTGGTTTGGAACTTCTGGGCTCACAGACGCCCAAAGTGCTGGGATTACAGGCGTGAGCCACCATCCCTGGAAGTTCTTATTTTCAACTTTCTTACCCATTAGCTAGCTTGCCAGCCTGTGTGGGAGAGTCATTAAACTTTATTTATTCACTATTGCTACCTCCAGGGAATATGCTACACAAAATTGCCCGTGTAAGAGCAGCTTAGTAGACAGTATTTACAAATTGGAAGGACTATTTGGTTTTTGGGGCATATACTTAAAACAACTGTGGAGGTGATTATCATCAGGGTGTCTTTAATCTTCCCAGCAGTCACATTCTCATTGCACCCCAGTTTCAGAATCTCTGTAAAAGGTGACTGCGTATTGCTTTTAGATATGCCTTACCCACCCATGTGAATTTTATGTATCCTATTGCTCCTGTTTTTAAGTTAGATCATCCCACATATACCTTTCAAATGTGGTGAAACTATGCAGTAGAATTTTTTTTTGTCTCTATCTGGGTAAGTTCTTTTTGTTTGTTTCAGGTAATAGTTTTTGAAAGACAAATACCTAGGTCAGTTTTTAAGTAGTGTTTCATCTTGTTCTAGTAAAACATAAATGATAAAATAGATAATTGGCATTTATCATGTAGCTTCTGGTTTTGGCAAGACTGACTTGAATAAGTTTGAATAGTTTTGACTTGCTAATTAATCATTTTTCTGATAAGAAAACATTTTAAAAACAAATGATTATAATCTTTAGCGTCTCCATTGTTACTAGATTAGGCTCAGCAATTTGGATAGAATTTAACTTGCTTAATGTTTCATGTATGCAGTGGGGTTCATAATATACGTACACTTATATGACCTCAAGCATATGTGTGTGTGCAGCAGCAAAATATAACAAGACCCCTCCCCCCTCTCCATAGTGACTTAGGATATAATTCCCATGAAAGGTGATATACTTCACTATTATGCTTTCATGTTTATATTAAAGTTTTTGACTTTTATCTCAGCATAACTTGTTTACGGTCCTTCCCTGTTCCTGAAAATCTGCAGTAGCACATATAATGAATACTCTGAAATGTGTTGGTAATAATTGAATCTGAGTTCAGATAAATGTAGCAGCAGCTGGCTAGTGAGTTTTCCTGTTTAAGATTGGATGGAATAAATTTTTTTCATTGACCTTTATGGTAATTAGGTTGATGCTTTATTCATTTTTTAAAATCAGAAATAAAGCTGTTCAACTTGAAAATGAGCTGGAGAATTTTACTAAGCAGTTTCTGCATTCAAGCAATGAAGAAGTACCTTCACAATAGAGATTGCTTTGGTGACCATCATAGGAAGAAATGAAACTTGGAAGATGGGAGTATTTGTTATTTTTATGAAATGACTTTTAAATATGAATTATACTGACTGTACTTAAATAGCAAATCCCTGTGTAGATTCTAGTAATAATCTACCTTAGGGTGTTTGCACTTCTGAAGAGTGTTATGATATGTCCTTAGTTTTAATTGTGGGTAAAGAAAAGACTAAATTGTTTGATGTGTTAAAGTAATGAATTAGTTAAAAGCGACAGTACCCTCTGTGACCCCTGAGGGGTGGGGCCTTGAGCTCTTAATTAGGGCTTTCTTTTTGATTCTGAAAAACTCTGCTTCCTGGCATCCAGGAGTTAGAGGTTAATTCTTTCGTCATTTTCCTCAAAAAAACTAGTTTTTGATGCTTTCTTTAATGGAAATAGTCACTTTTTTGTTTTATAAACTACATTGCTCAAACCACCAAGGAGTGTGGAGTGTTTTTGAGTGTATTATTTATGCAAGTTACAATCACTTTTGCCATCACGGCAGGTATGTAAACCACTAATAAATGTGCTGTTTTTACTCCGTCTTTTATTCCCATTAAAACTGACATAAAACAGTATGGTTTGGTATTATAGTCATTTATAAAAAGAATCTGGTCTAAATCATTTGAGTTGTTTCTAAAGAAACATTTTCAGCTTTGCTCCAAGTATGATCCTGTAAGGAAAGCTTTCTAGCTCAGTTCTTAGTGTAAAGTTTGAAGTGAAGGAGCATAGCCAGAGCTATAGGAGGTCTGAATTTTGAATAACAGTCATGTTTGGTTCCTCAGAAGGCATCTGCCTAGAGACCAGTAAATCAGAAATCAGCGGGCATAGTGGCTTGCTCCTGTGGTTCCAGCTACTTGGAATGCTCGGGCAGAAGGATCACCTGAGCCCAGCAGATGAGGCTGAGGTAGCATGATCATGCCACTGCACTCAAGCCTGGGCAACAGAGTGACTCCGACTATCCCCGCCCACCAAAAGAAAATTCATGCTTTTTACCGTGAGGGAGGGTTTAAGGGTTCAAATATTGTGTCTGCTTCCATATTAAATACTGAATGAAACTTATATGGAATAGAAATATACAAATGACATTCTAGGACCTTGATACAAAAAATGAAGGATCACAAGTTCAGCATCACCTAGATGCTGACTAGAAATGCAGTCCCAGGGGACACAGTACATTTGGCTAAGTATAGTTTATGCTTCTTTTTTGTGTGTGGGAGATAATTACAGGGTTTTTGTTTTTGTTTTTTCACCCAGTACTTCCTTTTCTGTGCCTTTTAAGGCTCCTGATGCTGTTCAGCTATTGCAACTTTATTTTTTTTTTAAATGACATTGTTTGGGCTATGGAAGCCTTTCAAAAATATATTTTTATGCAAATAAGACACTAGGCTACAGTATACAAATGTAAGTGAATATTGGTTTTTTAGCTTTTATTGCTGAATTATAATTAAAGAAATGGTACAGGCCACCGATAAGTGGAATTAGGTGACAATTACAACTTGAAAGAACTGAGGTCTGAGACTGGGTACTGCAGATTTAGGTTACAAGCTCAAGGCCGTTACCTTTATATGAAAGTAAGTTTTTCGTCACTAGTTTGAATGTAGTTTTACCTGATCAAGTTTGAAAATGTATGAATGTTGAAAGTGAAACACCAGAATCATGAAACCCAACTTTTATGCCTGGAGAAAAGTATACACCTATGACCGAGCCCATGAATTATACAGAAAGTATGTAATTATGACTGATGCAGTTCAGAGTTCTTGCACATGTACTTGTTTACTATGTATGCTTGTAGGATTATTTGAACTTCGTATAATCTTAAACTTTTTACAAACATTTTTATAGGTGTGCAAGCTTACAAGGTGAAATAAAATCTGCCTGATACTTGATAAATATAGCGTTTGTACCAGTACCCAGTGAGCTTTAATTCATTAATCGTTTTTACAGTAGGCATATATATATCATACATACATACATACATAATACATACATACACGATATTGAGTAGACTGGCTCTTCTGGCTCCTCTACTGTTTAGTTCTTCTGGGCCAAGTATTGAAAAGGGAAGTAAAAGTTCCATCAGTCTTTAGTACAAGATGTCACAGACTGTCAGGGGAGCATATTTAGAGCAGCTCTCTGCCTTAGACATACAACTTAGAGGTACTCACCCCAGTGATCTTCCCTGGGCACAGAGAACTATATTCAGAGTGCCAAAGGGGAGCTTATTTTTGCTCTCTGCTTTAACTTGTAGTTCTGGGTGCCCCTACGTGGACTCATTTGATAACTAAGAAAAAAAGGACACTTTATCATGGAAAAATGTTAAACAAGGAAAAAAAGTAGCCAGGAAAGCATGACAAACTTCCATAGCCCATCACCCAGTGTCAGAAATTACCAACTCATGGCCAAGGTGGTTTTCTCTCTCCCATGTTACTTTGAAGTAAATTTAAAATAATCTTTAATTGTTGTTATTGGTATCTTTATTTTGATTTCCTCATTCATCCTCCCCTAAGGTTGTGGTGATGAAAGTTAGTAAAAACGTTTTTATCGATACCATAAGCAGAATTGGTTAAAGATTACACAAAAGGCAGGCCAGGCGTGGTGGCTCCCGCCTATAATCCCAGCACTTTGGGAGGCCGAGGTGAGGGGATTGCCTGAACCCACGGGTTCGAGACCAGCCTGGACAACCTGGTGATATCTTACCTCTACAATAAATCAAAAAATTAGCCGGGCTTGGTGGTACATGCCTGTAGTTCCAGCTACTTGGAAGGCTCAGGTGGAAGGATCACCTGAGCCCAGCGGGTCGAGGCTGTGGTGGCCGTGAGGCTGCCACTGCACTCCAGCCTGGGTGACAAAGTGAGACTGACTCAAAAAAAAAAAAAAAAAAATTATGCAAAAAGAAATGAAATTTTCCCAAGGAAGTTTCAGGAGTGGCTTTTGCTTTGTTAAGAAAATCCGTGGCCTTTTAACAAGCTGGAAGTTTATAGTACTAATAGGTCAGTAGCACTCCAGGCTCTTGCTTGCTTCACCATTCATTTTTCATTTAAAGCATTACCAATGTTTAGATAAAGGAATTAGACCTAAGCATGAAGTACTGGGCTAAGAGTTAAGTTCTGGGACTTTTAAAAAAATTCTTACTAAGAATTGACTTAAACATGGTACAATGAAATTGGGTTAAAAGCACTTTATTGATTACAGTATCAACTCACAGCAACATTATTTTACAAAGCCACTGTACAAATAAAGGAATGAATCTGTGAGAACGATCTAAGAATACTCAAGTCATGGTACAAATCCATAGTATATATGGTTTAAAACTTTTAGAAGGGCTTTAATCCAGCATGTTTACCTTTCCCATAATTAGATGTACTAACATTCAGTCAACTGACCATGAGGATGTAGAAACCACTCTAAGTGAAGAAAAACATTTCAGAATGCTTTAACAGGAAATTATTCTAATCAATTTTTAGAACACACTTTGATGGGGATGCCTTTGGATAAGAAAATGCAAATGCAAGTGTTCAGATGCTTCTTTGAAAAGAGAAAACAATAGGATAGAGCACCATTGTGTAAAAGACAGGCTTGAAATACCTACCAAGTATATATCACTGAAGTTCTATTAATTAATAAATACTGTATGATGTAAGATTTTGTTGGGGTGCATTTAACACCAGTTGAAACACCAGTCCCCCAACCCCCCCATAATGCTGTATTATCATAACTAATACAAAATCAGTAACTGGATTTACGAAAACAAAATTTTATCAACATGCAAACATCTGCTAAATACAAAGTGTACCATCAATTTTTGATTAATAAATTACTTGTTAAAATGCTAGCCTAGACATTCTATAAAGATTTTAGAGTACCTACTATTGTAACCACTGTTTTAAAATGACACTGAATTTGAGGCAGCTCAAAATGAACCATGGAAGGAGAACGACTCAATCTGAGGTGTGCTTTACATTCCACTTAACCCAACTGGAAAGTGTTCGTTCATCATGCAGCTCATAAGCAAGGTGGTCTCACCTGTGGGTGCTTTAAACCATTCTAACAGGAGTTGAGCGTTTAAAATTATGCTTCTCAAAATGGCAATAGGGAAAGAAGTTGAACGTATACTTAAGCACTTTTTTTCTTAAATGCCTGACTCAGACCCTGAAGATTTTAGAAAGAGCATCTTCATTGTTAAAAACAACAGACTCATCTTGGGGGCTGTTTCATCAGTTTCCCCAAGTTAAACACATAAACGATAAGCCACAAGTACTCAACCCTGTTATAATTTAAAATCAGAGACATTCGTATCAAAGCATAAGTTTGCCTGAACATTTTCATGTTTAAAACACGTAAGGTCTTAAGTTATTATTAAATCTAAAATATCAAGTGTTGGAAGAGCTCAGTTATATAATATTGGCACTGCATTTTTTTAAGCAATAGTTTCATTTTGTGACCTGGAGAAGTTGAGATCCATTTCTCTTTTAATAGGTTAACTTTAAAATTCCTGAACATATTCCAGAGGCACCTACATCAAGTATTTCAAGAAGACTAGCTACTATCATCGTGCGATATTGAATCAGCTCATCTGAGTCTAAAATGAGACTTGCTTACCAGGCACTTTCTGCTGAGAGATTAAGCCCAAGTCTTTGCCTCTGTGAAGACAGAATTCATCATGGTGTATTGGAATCACAACTAAAATTCGAGTCTATAAATCTCTAACAACATAGCTGCCAAAAATGAGGCCTGTCCATCAAAGTGGAGTAGAAAGTCTTGCTCATAGCAAGAAGTGCTTTCTTGGACAGATTTTGGGATGATTTGCTAAGCCGCATGGTGATCATATTGTTTTAGAAAATATGTATTTCTGGAATCTTCCCAGAGAGAAGAAATAGAATATGCACCTCTACAATATTCTTGTCAGTCAAAACATGACTTTTGACATGATACAAATCAACTGCTGAGGCACATTATGTTGAAATGTTTTCTATAAGGTAAAGAAGGAAAACTCACAGACATCAGATTACTGCAATATTCTTGATGGTGCAAATTCTTTACAACTAAACTCAGCCATCTTTCTCAGGCTTACAACGTCTCTACAAATTACATACTCTTATTTCTATCAGGGAGTCTTTGCACAACAACAGAATTAAACCATCAGTTCAACTCAAACTGTCAGTAAACAAGAATACTTAGCGATTGGAACCCCTATCACTAGAAAGCAAAGATTTAGCTTAGTAATCCGTGTGGTAATGAGGTTACTTTGTCACCATTTGGTTGTATATACAATTCACCACAAGTGTTTGACCGTGGTTAGTTTTTAGTTGCCTAATACATTTGTTAACTACTGGAATTGTTTTAAACACCTCTACACAAACTTTCAAATACATGTCCTTTTAAACTATATCAAGGCCATAGAATTCTTGTGGTCTACATGCCTGACTGACTAGACTGTCTTATTACAATAACTTTTAAGTGGAGAGGATATGCTCAAATATATGAGGTTATTTTTATGGATAACAGAAGTACTTTCTTGAATGGGATTTTGGAATGAACTGCTGAATTACATGGCAAATTTCCACCCTCTCTCCCTTTTTTTGGAAATACGTTCCTTTAAAATATTCTTGCCTTCTCTCAAGCTGCTCTTTATAAAGGGATATAAATAGCCCACAAATAAACATTAAAAACAAAGTTCATAGAAATCTCAACCAAAATATAAATATACATTCGCAACTGCCATCTCCAATACTGTATGCATCCTGTATCTTCATCTGCCTTTATCCATTTTATCCTCTTCTAATTATCAACTGGCAAAACTGATAGTGATATCATTACAGTTGATGCACATGTTAGTACATTCACAATATAAAAATGAAACTTTACAGATAAAATGTGGGGATATTTAGGTTAGGGTTACAGGTGATCCAATGTTAGCACAGACCCATCTGCACAGTAACTAAGTTACAAAACACAATGCACTTCTATATTCAGAATAGCCCGAGATTTCACCATTAAGCAAGCCTAACAATCTACTGTCAATCATTGATATTTATTTGTAAGAAAAAAAATCCAAGAGGAAAAGTATTTTTAATTTGGGGGCAGGAGGCATTCAAGTAATAGACACATTATATCACTGGCAAGCAGAGGAATTGCTTAATATATTCTCTGACTCCTTTTGCAATTGCTTTAGGAATTTTTCTTTTGGCTTTAACGTGGAATCAGATCTAGGCATTCTTTGAAGCAAAACCAGTATTTTGTGCGAAGGGAAGAAATATTACAGAAGCAAAAAGCTTAAATGTTTCCTTTTTAAAACTTAAAGGCATACACATTTTATATCATTTCATATTTTATATTACATGAACATAAAATTCATTAACCACCTTATAACAAATCAGTGCTAGCGATTGGTTAGATTTTACACTTTTCAAAACATAACACTATCAGACTATATTTCCCATCTAGATGTGTACTGAGAGAGAACACTGGAAAAGATCCTTCAGATGCAGGGACAATCCAAGTGTTTATCAGACTTCTGAAATATAAGTACACTCTACAAACTTAGTTCCAGACTATGAAATCAACAGGAAAGTCCAACTATTCAGAGGGCTATTCAAAATGTCAAAGAATCATAACCAGGCTTTTAAAATGCCAAGAATCATTTGTATGCTATTATTATCTACTTTTCACTAATAAGATACATTCTAATGAAGTTTCTTATGTATGTCTAAAATGTCAGTGAAATCTCTCATCCTTGGCCTTCATATTCAGTCCCTTCGGAGGACTGAAAATCAGCATTTTGTGTATATCGATTGTATGGCGCCGGATGCATGAGAAACTCCTGACTCTCCTTAGAGGTATCTTTTCTTAAACAGTAAGCCATTAGGATCTTTTTAGATGAAAAGGAATGCCAGAATGCAAAGGCCTTTGCTTCACATTAAGTACACACAGAGTATCACTTCCATCTAGTACTGTGCCTGCTTCTTCCATTAGAAAACTCAAAAACACGGCATTTCTTGTGTATACAGATTCTAAAATTAGTTCTTAAAAATGCACACACACAAAGATGAGCTGCTATAGTGTGTACATTCTGTTCTACACAAAGAAAAGAGATTCAGTATGCACATCATTCATCAAGGAAAAATTAACCCAATTCCTCAAATTAATACATTGACCTCAGCAGGCCTTTTTTTTTTTTTTTTTTACTTTTTTTGGGGGGGAGAGTTTACTGAAAGCTTTTCGTATATAATAATCTCAATAGAAAAATCTTCACCTGGAAATATAAGGTAGGATTTTTTTCACAGCTATATGCTGTAGCATTGATTTCTCCAGATATTGATGGAGAAAATATGTATGACACTGTTAATTCCAGATTCTAAGAAAACTGTCCCAAGAGCCTGTTGCCACAGCCATGCCATCTTCGGTTACACCCAGGCAGCTGACACGGTTGTCATGACCAGCAAGGACACCTGAAAAAAAAGTTTGGTAGAAAGTTAGGAGAGTTTTAGAATTAAACAAGTATATACATAAAAATCTAAAAGGGTACTTAAATGCCAACCATCCAAACGGAGCATGGTGACGCACACCTATAATCCCAGCACTTTGGGAGGCCAAGGGGGGAGGACTACTTAAGTCCAAGAGTTTGAGACTAGCCTGGACAACACGGTGAGGCCTCATCTCTACAAAATTAAAAAAAAAAACAACCAGCCAGTATGGTAGTGCATGCCTGTAGTCCCAGCTGGGATCCTGAACAGGCAGGAGGATCACTTGAGCCCAGAAGTCTGAGGCTGTGGTGAGCCTTATGGCCTGGGCACAAAGTGAGACCTTGTCTCAAAACAAACAAAAAAAAAAAACAGTTTGATAGCCCACTATTTAAGAAAAAAATTAATTAAAAAAACTGGCCAGGTTCGGTGGCTCAGCCTGTAATCTCAGCACTTTGGGAGGCTGAGGCGAGAGGATTGCCTGAGCCTGTGGGTTCGGGACCAGGCCGGGTAACTTGGTGACACCTCGTCTCTACAAAAAAAAAAAAAAAAATTAGCCTGGCATGGTAGTGTGCACCTGTAGTTCTGGCTACTTGGAAGGCTAAGGTGGAAGGATCACCTGAGTCCAACAGGTCAGCACTGGGGTGGCTGTGAGCGTGCCACTACACTCCAGCCTGGGAAGCAGAGTGAGACTCCAACTCAAAAAATAAATAAATAAAAAGTTCCTCTGAGTGGGGACACTGAGGTAAGGGGTAAGCTGGACATATTCGTAAAACATATCTTCTTATGTTACTTGAATTTTTGACACGTATCGATTTGTGTTTTTAATTTTTGAAAAATAATTTCATAATTAATCTTTCTTATATCTAGGAAAACAGATGTAAACATTTATTCTACATTGCTAATAAGTTCATGATAGTTCAAATTTTGCTACTGAGCTATGCTATTTTCAACAAAAATAAAATTTTTGTTGTTGTTCACTACAGCCTCCATCGCCTGGACTCAGGCAATCTCCCACCTCAGCCTCCCAAATACCTGGCTAACTTTGTTATTTTTTCAGAGACCAGGTCTCGCCATGTTGCCCAGGCTGGTCTTGAACTCCTAGGCTCAAGCAGTCTCTCGCCTCGGCCTCCTAAAGTGTTGGGATTACAGGTGTGAGTCACTGCACCAAGCCCAAAACCAAAATTTTAAAGGAAGTTCAATGAAGTAGCCTTTTACAAGAACAACAAAGCCATAAGAATAAAACAGCCTGTAATCGCAGCACTTCGGGAGGCCGAAATGAGTGGACTGCCTGAGCCCGCAGGTTTGAGACCTGCCTGGGCAACGTGACAAGACCTCATCTCTACAACAAATCAAAAATCAGCCGGGCGTGGTAGCACGCGCCTGTAGTTCCAGCTACTCGGAAGGCTGAGGCGGAAGGATCGCCGGAGCCCAGCAGGTCGAGGCTGCGGTGGCTGGGAGCGGCCACTGCACTCCAGTCTGGGCGACAGAGTGAGACTCCGACTCAAAAAAAAAAAAAAAAAAAAAAAGAATATAACCTCCAAAAATACCAACATAATTTATTTACTTTCTTCTGTTAACTACCAAACAGTGGAATGTCGTTGGTTATAACTTTCTCAAATTCATCTTGTTTTAGTTTCTTTTGCATACTGAAATTAAACTCACTTGATATCCTGATCACCACACTGGATAAAATAAAATATTCCCAATATTTGGGGGAAGAAATAAATATACAGATTAAAAAGGAAAACTAGGATATATGAAATTCTCAAAATTTTTTTTAATATACCACATTTGAGTCCATATTAACTCTCTCTATATTTAAGCATATTACTTTCACATTTTGTCTAACTCCTGATGTTCTCCAGTATGGCAATGTTTAGCACCGGACAAACTCACCATCATGGGTTGAACAAAACATGAGCGCTGTGGCTGATACTCCAAGCCACACTGGAAAGGAATGAATGAGCAATTCACAAGTTGGGATTCAACCCAGGTAAAGGTTCTAATCTAGCCAACTTGCAACCAGCTTTAAGCAAAGCAAAACTAAAACCCAAACATCTATTTAAAATGGGGAAAGAAACAGCTTTATTTTGTTCTGGATACTAATTTATTCAATCCCAGCAAAATACTTAATACCTTAAAAAAATAAGTGGCTTTGGGCAACAATTCCAAAAATCCACTTGCAAAGTGCAAAACTATGAACCCTGTGGTCTCTTAGGAGAGGTGGTAGAAAATGGTTCCCAGAAATGTTGGCATTGTGTCTCTTCCCGCAGAAACTGTCTAGGGGCTTAAAAGGGTGAGAACATAAAGTCACAGCACAGTGAGACGACGACAGCTCACTGTCACAGCAAGCAATGGCAGCAGAAGTCTGCAAGCTGGATGGTGGTAACTGTGTTAGTGCATCCCAAAACACTGATTTCAAAACGAGTGATCTAGTAAGCAAGAGGCAAAATCACACAGCAGCACCTGCAAGAGTACCCCTACAGTGGAACCAGGTATCACTGAAACCAGACAGGGGCAGGGACAGGGCAAAACCAGATCGCACCAGAAAGTGTTCCTGAGCTAGTAAGACTCCCCATGCGCCGTGCTCCTCTACTCTGCAGGGTGACTGATCACCAGGTGCCTCAAAAATAAAAAAAGAAAGAAAACAAGCACAGATGAGACTGGTACAAATGTGCTGAAAATGGGGAGTAAAGGAAGTTTACTAGCTAACCGTTGTGGCCCTCGGTTTTTCTTTTGAAATCAGCCCCAAGCTGGCTGCCGACATCTACACCCCCGGCCAGAGAGCAGAAGGCCACCTCACGGCTATGACCAGCCCGCAGAAAAAGGCCAAGAGACGCAGCACACGTTCCCCGTGCGTGCCTGGCCAGACAGCCTTCGGTGGGGCCTATGATCAGCACACTGGCAGTTTTAGTGCCTCTTAAGTATGAAGAAGAAACTAAGACCCTATTATGGAAGGGCTAAAAAAAGGGGGGGGGGATAATCACCAGACTTTTAAGGAAATGTTCTAAAAATAAGGACAGGGGACTAAAAAAAAATAAAGAAAAACACCAACTCAGAAACACAGAGGACTACGCTTGAAGAAGAAAAGTTTATTTTTTATTTATTTTTTGAGTCAGGGTCTCACTCTGTTGCCCAGGCTGGAGTGTGGTGGCACGCTCCCAGCCACCACAGCCTCAAACTGCTGGCCTCAAGCAATCCTTCTGCCTCAGCCTTTCAAGTAGCTGGAACTATAGGTACATGCCACGATGCCTGGCTAATTTTTTGATTTACTGTAGAGATGAGGTCTTGCCATGTTGCTCAGGATGGTCTTGAACCTGAGCTCAGGCAATCCTCTCACCTCTGCCTCCCAAAGTGCTGGGATTACAGGTGTGAACCACCACTCAGCCAGCAGTAGACACTTTTTTGTGTGTGTGTTAGAGTCTCACTCTGTCAGCCAGGCTAGAGTGTGTTGGCATGCTCACAGCCACTCCAGCATCAACCTGCTGGGCTCAGGTGGTCCCTCCATCTCAGCCTTCCAAGTAGGCAGAACTACAGGCATGCACCACTACGCCTGGCTAATTTTTTTGATTAGGTCAAGATGAGGTCTCGCCAAGTTGCCCAGGCTGTTCTCCAACCCATGGGCTCAGGCAATCCCCTCACCTTGGCCTCCCAAAGTGCTGAGATGACAGGTTTGAGCCACCATGCCTAGCCCAACACCTAAGAAGTCACAACTATGTAAACACTGAATGTTGTTCTAAACAAAATTTACCATATGAAAAAAACTGGTTGGGAAGGATGTACCTGGCAGTAGCAGGGATGTTAAAGCCAAGCCCTCATTAACATCCATAATAACAATCCAACCATGATAGAGCCTGAATGTTTAAAAAGAAAAAAAAAGTGACAGCAATACAGGATTTTTTTTTATTTAAAGACATGTAAGCAGCCGGGTTCAGTGGCTCGGCCTATAATCCCAGCACTTTGGGAGGCCGAGGCGAGTGGATTGCCTGAGTCCGCGGGTTCGAGACCTGCCTGGGCAACTTGGCGAGACCTCATCTCGACAATAAATCAAAAAATTAGCTGGGCGTGGTAACGCACACCTGTAGTTCCAGCTCTTTGGAAGGCTGAGGCAAAAGGATCGCCAGAGCCCAGCAGGTCGAGGCTGCGGTGACCGGGATCGTGCCACTGCCCCTTAGCCTGGGCGACAGAGTGAAATTCTAACTCAAAAATAAAACAAAAGCAAAAAATAAAATAAAAAATAAAAAAATCAGACACCAAGCCGGGCTCGGTGGCTCAGCCTATAATCCCGCACTTTGGGAGGCTGAAGTGAGTGGATAACCTGAGCTCATGGGTTCGAGACCCACCTGGGCAACTTGATGAGACCTCGTCTCTACAATAAATTTAAAAAATCAGCGGGACATGGTAGCACGCGCCTGTAATTCTGGCTACTCGGAAGGCTGAGGCGGAAGGATCGCCGGAGCCCAGCAGGTCGAGGCTGTGGTGGCCGGGAGCGGCCTCTGCACTCCAGTCTGGGTGACAGAGTGAGACTCCAACTCAAAAAAATAAAATAAAATAAAATAAAATAAAATAAAATAAAATAAAGACATGTAAGCAAGCTGGCGCCTCACACCTGTGATAATTCCAGCTACTCTGGAGGCTGAGGTGGGAGAACTGCTTGAGACCAGGAGTTTTTTGAGACCAGCCTGAGCAACACAGTGAGACCCTGTCTCCACAAAAGAGAAAAAGAGCAAGACATAAGTAAATACCTAAAAGTAGCTACATTCAGAACAGAAAATATAAATTGGGGTAAAAAGACTTGTGTATTTTGGTAACAAGCCTTACAAGAATATTGATTTCTTCAAATATAATTAAAATTATTTTTGAGACAGGGTCTTGCTCTGTTGCCCAGGCTAGAGTGCAGTGGCATGATCATAGTTCACTGTAGCCTCAAACTCCTGGGCTCAAGTGAACCTCCTACCTCAGCCTCTTGAGTAGCTGGGACTGTAGGCACACACCACCATGCTTGGGCTAATTTTAAAAATTTTTTCGTAGAGACAGGGTCTCACTACGTTGTTCAGCTGGTCTTGAACTCTTGGGTTCAAGGGATCTGCCTGCCTCAGCCTCTCAAATTGCTGGGATTACAAGTGCGAGCCACTGTGCCCAGCCCATTTTTTAAGTATAATTTTGATTCAAAATTTTTTAAATAATTACTCTGTAGAATTTGTGATTCACGACAGCCCCCAGAATGGCTTAATGTATAGTCGAATGCTGTGGAACTTACAGGAGAGGACTCAGAGTATGGAACTAAGGGGAGAAAACAGGTCTCTGTTCTGTCCCACCACTATCTGTTCCGAAGGAAGACAAACACTGCAGGTATGATGTTTCCTATCCACTTATGAGAAAACTGTAATTTGTAACAAACCACAATGAATCATATTCACACTGACCTTTAATACTGCAACTTACCAAACACGAAAATACATAAAACTCTTCAGAAGACAAAAATATAAATATGGTTTATGGACTATAATGCACCCAGAGGGGAATGACTAGGAACATGAATGAGAACCACTGGGTCGCCACTTTCCACAGCTCTGGAACGACCATGGAGGCCCAGGAAACTCCTGCAGGGAGCCTCTATGCTTCCTGAGATGAGGACCTACTGTGGGCTTCTCACTCACCTGCACGATCTCCTTTCAGCGTGTCCCACACGTTGCAATTGAAGTCGTCATAACCAGCTAACAGGAGACGCCCACTTTTTGAGAAGGCCACGGAAGTGATTCCACAGATGATATTGTCATGGGAATACAGTAACAACTCTTGGTCTGCACGAAGGTCAAAGAGCCGGCAAGTGGCATCATCAGAGCCAGTGGCAAATGCATAACCATTCGGGAAAAACTAGAAAGAAAAGCAGATCTATTTATTCCATGGATGTACACAAAAACCCTGGGAGACAGTGTAATAGCAGACTTTGCGGTAAGACAGACCCAGACTCAAATTCCAACTTTGCTACTTGCTAGGCGAGTGATGTTGGCACAAAAGAGTCTTGGCATTTTGGGCCTGCTTCCATAGTAGAGTATTGGTTAGGATTGAACAGAATCACACATACAAAGTGCACAGCCCACTTTTCAGCACACAGCGAAAACAGACGCTGGCTCTGGTTCTCCACACAGCCAAGTTTTACCATCTCTAGAAAGGGCACGTGAGTATATGTGCATGGCTATGGCAGAATGAGTGATGGAGATTACAGGTTTATAACCCTTATGGGCTAATGTGGACCCCTTGGGACAGTTGTTTTTCAGATTTCAGCAAGGCAATATACTGCATATTCAGCAAAACCTAAAATATGGCACTGAATGCAATATGTCTATTAAATCAATATTATTGAACTACATTATTGAAACCCTCAATGTCTTACTTTTTGCCTTCTTAGGATATCAGTATTTCCAAGTTGTATATTAAAGTCCCCTACACAATCACATTTTGGGTCGATTTCTCCTTGCATTTTTTTTTTTTTTTGCTTTATGCATTTTGAAGATAGAGCTTCACTATGTCCTTTTTATTAACATAAAACTTCTCATTTATAGTTTTTGCTTCAATTCTACTTTGTCAAATAGTAATATAAAAATACTAGCTGGGTGCAGTGGCTCACACTTGTAATCCCAGCACTTTGAGAGGTTGAGGCAGGAGGATTGCCTGAGCACAGGAATTTGAGCCTAGGGAAACATTGAGAATCTTCGTCTCCACAAAAACCAAAAAACAGTTGGACGTGTTGGCATGTGCCTGTAGTCTCAGCTATTCCAGATAATGAGGCAGAAGGATCACCTGGGTCCAGGAGGTTAAGGCTGCAGTGAGCTCTGATCGAGTCCCTACACTCCAGCCTAGGTGACAGAGTGAGATCCCAATTCAAAATAATAATAATAACTATTATTATTATTTTTTATTATTATTAAAGATTTCTTTCCAGTTTATGGCTTGCCCACTCTTTTATTTTGACTTTTAGCTTTCTTGGGCCATTTTATTTTAGATGTGTTTCTTTTAAACATTGGCAGTTCAATTTATTCTTTTTTTTAATCTTTTGTTGTTGTTGTTGTTGTTGGAGTGTGTCTCACTCCATCGCCCAGGCTGGAGTGCAGTGACACGCTCACGGCTACCCCAGCATCGACCTGCTAAGTTCCAGTGATCCTTTCGCCTCATCCTTTCAAGTAACCAGAACTATAGGCACATGCTACCACGCCCAGCTAATTTAATCTTTTTTGGGGGGACAGGATCTGGCTCTGTATGTCCAGCAGGTCTTGGATCATAATGTGCCTCCCTTAACACACAGCAAATATTATTCAGGAGCCTTTTAGCAATGTCTGTTGAGAAAAAATGTGAAGACTAGCCTGATTTTTTAATCTTTTATACCCAAGCAATTTGCTTTTTTTTCCCCTGATCTTTTTATTTTTTAGATCAGAAAATATAGTTTATTTAGAAAGTAAAAGAGAGAGAGAGAGAGAGAGAGAGAGAGAGAGAGAGAGAGAGAGAAGATTCACCTCCCCAAGGTAGGAGAGGGGGCCAAAGCTCCCTCATCTTTTGATATTCTAAATTCAACAGGATACATCTGTGTTGGTTTCTTTTAATTACTTTTTAAAAAAGTACTTTAAAGACTCTTCAGACCTTGAATCAATTTCCTTCTTCAACTAAGATAATTTTTTTAAAAATTGTTTCTTGGCTTCACTGTTTTCCGCCAAAATGGAGTAACTGTGATTGGGTTTACTCCATGCTAAAAAAAACACATACAAATAAATGAAACATGTTTAAAGGCACTGGATATCAGTCAACAAAGAAGAGTGGCCTCTGAGATGAGATCTGGCGTGTGCAGGCTGGTAAGGCCATAGCAAGAGTAGCCTCTGAGAGGTAAGAAGTAAATAAGCAGTTGTAACTGCTCCATCTTGACTCCTGGAGAAGGTCAACAGGGCATGGCACCGGGCAAGGGAACGCAGGTGGAGACTAGCCCTCCCACAGGTGAGGAGACAGCACAGGAAACCCACAGCAGCCAGAGGTCACAGAAGAGTGTGCCGGAGAGGACAGAGCCTAACAAAGAGAACCTTCAGGAGGCATGAGGAGCACCTCCAGGTATTCAGAGGTGTGAGAGAAAGCTGCTCAAGCAGAGAAACAAACACCCAAAAAAATTTCAGGAGGCAAACCCTGGTGTCCTGGTGTTTACACAGGACCAAGAATAATGCCTATTCCCACCAGCCAGGGAGACACCTAAAAATACATGGAAAAAAACTCATCATTTCTAGAAAAGAATGATCATAAGGGCATTTTGCCTCACTCATGGGGCAAAATTAAGCATACACTAAATGCAGCTCGGGTCCCATCTAACAAGATGTAAATGCAAAACCTGGAATGACCAAATTATTTCCAAATAACTAGGCCAGCGTATGTCCCAGAAAAAACCTAAATAATATTTATATGAATACATCATTATTTAGCATACAACAAGGTGAAATTCACAATGTCTGGTATCTAATAAACAGTTGCCAGACATACCAAAAAAAAAAAAATAGAGCCCAGAAGATGTCACAGAAGATAGAATTAACAAAGTTAAGTACAAGGGCTGGGATGGAAAGTTCACTGGATAGGCTTAATAGCAGATTAGACACTGCAGAAGACAAAAGTGATGAGCTTGAAGACAAACAGTAGGACCCATCCAAAACAAAATACAGAGAGGAAAAAACCCTGAAAAACAAAATAAACATCAGTGAACTATGGGAAAACTTCAAGTGGCTTACTACCTACGTAACTGAAGTCTCAAAGAAGGGAAGAAGAGAGCAGGCAGAAAAAAAACATTTGACTAATAATGGCTGAAAAATTTCTAAACTTGATGAAAACTGTAAATCCACAGATCCAAGCACAAGAAACATGCAGAAAAGTAGACAAAGATACATGATAATCAAACTGCATAGAAACAATGATAAAGAGAAAATATGAAAGCAGCTGAAGGAGAACAAAGAATACATTATGTACAAATGTGACAAAGATAAGGATGACAGTACATTTCACATCTATACCAACATAAACCAGAAGACAATGAAATAATAGCTTCACAATGCCAAAAGAAAACAACTGTCAACCAGTGAAAATATCTTTTAAGGCCGGGCTCCATGGTTCAGCCTGTAATCCCAGCACTTTGGGAGGCCGAAGTGAGTGGATTGCCTAAAACCACGGGTTTGAGGCCAGCCTGGGCAACTTGGCAAGACCTCATCTCTACAATAAAAAAAAGAAAAGAAAAAAAAAATTAGCTGGGCGTGGTAGCATGCACCTGTAGTTCCAGCTACTTAGAAGGTTGAGGTGGAAGGATCACCGGAACCCAGCAGGTCGACAATGGGTTAGTCATGAGTGTGCCACTGCACCCCAGCCTGGGTGATGAAGTGAAACTCCAACTCACAAAAAAAAAAAAAAAAGGAAGAAAATATCTTTTAAAAACAAAAGCAAAATAAAGACTTCTTTAGACATATAAAAACTAAAAGACTTTTGCAGACCTGCACTACAAGAAGTATAAAGGAAGACCTTCAAGTAGAAGGAAAATACAGATGGAAATCTGGATCTATACACAAAAGAATGAGAACAGAAAATGGCAACTATATAAGTAAATTTAAAAAATTTTTTTTCTTATTTAAATCTTTCTAAAAATAGGCCGGGAGCGGTGGCTCATGCCTGTCTGTAACCCCAGCACTTTGGGAGGCCGAGGCGGGTGGATTGCTTGAGTCCAAGAGTTTGAGATCAGCCTGGGCAACATAGCAAAACCTTGTCTCTACGAAAAATAAAAATACTAGCTAGATGTGGTGGTGCACACCTCTAGGATGCTGAGAAGGATGACCTGAGCCCAAAAGGTCAAGGCTACTATGAGCTGTGATCATGCCACTGCACTTCAGCCTGCAAGACCAAGTGAGAACCTGACTCAAAACAAAACAAAAACAAAAACAAAACCCTCTCTAAAAATAATCAGCTGTTGAGTTGTGATGTTTATCACACACATAGAACTATAATGTATGATAACAACAGCATAAAAGGTGGGAGGGAAGAAAAGGGGGTCTGTTGTGAGGTTCTTATCTATCTATAAAGTGGTGAGTCACCAGAAAATAGATGCCATCAGCTATAGGTGTATACCACAGACCCTACAACAACCACTAAAAGAAGAGATTACTAATATGCCAAAAAAGGAAAAGAAATGGACTTGTAAGAATATTAACTTAAAAGAAGGTAGAGAAAAATGATAAGGAAGCAAAGACTAGATAGGACAAATAAAGAGCAAGATGGTGAATTTAAGCCCAACCATGGCAATAATCACATAAAATGCAAATGGTCTAACCAGTAAAAAGCAGAAATCATCAGACTATAAAAAAGCAGAATCAATTGCTGCCTACAAAAAACTCACTTTAAATATAAAGACACAAATAGGTTAAAAGGAAGGAAAAATGACATACCTACACTAATACTAATCAAAAGAAAGCTGGAGTAGCTTTACTAATATCAGACAAAATTTTCATGGCAAATATCTTCAGGGGTAAAGAGGGTCATTTCATAATGCGAAAAGAATTCATCAAGAGGATATAACAATCCTAAAGATTCATGTTTTGAAATATACATATATGAAGTGAAAACTAATAGATTTCAAGAAGAAAGAGACAATGCACAAGTATTGTCAGAGATTTCAACACCTCTCTCTCAGTAATTAACAGAACAGACAAAAATCAGTTAAGGATACAGAAGACTTGAGTAATACTATCAACCAATTTGACCTGATATTTATAGAACATTTCACATAATAACTGGAGAATACAGATTCCTTTCAAGTACATATGTAACAGACTAAGACAGACCATATTCTGGGCCATAAGACAAGTTTCATAAAATTAAAGAGTTTAAATCAAGCAAAGCATATTCTCTGACCACAATGGAACTAAATGAAAAATTAACAAAAATAAAGCTATCTAGTGAATCATAATATTTGAAAACTAAATAAGACACATGTAAATCATTTATGGGTCAAAGAAGAAATCAAAAGGAAAATTGGAAATACTTTTGAGCTTAATGAAAAAATAAAACTATAACACATCAAAATATGCAGAATGCAGCTTAAAGCAATGCTTAGAAAAAAATTTATGGCTTTAAACTCCAATATCAGAAAAAACAAGTTTTGGACCAATGACATCAGCTGGCATATTTTAAGAAACTATAAAAGAAAAGTAAATAAAACCCAAGTAAACAGTGGAAAAGAAGTAATTGAGATCAAAGTGGAAAAAAAATCGATGAAACAGAAAACGACAGAGAAAATAATTCAGACAAAAGCTCGTTCTTTGAGAAGATAAGTGAAACTGACAAACCTCTAGCCAGATATATCAATTTTCTAGGATGGTTGTAACAAAGCACCACAAGCTAGGTGGCTTAAACAAAAGAAATCCATTGCCTCCCAGTGCTGGAGGCTTAGAAGCTTAAAACTGAGCTACCAAGGGCTCTGAGAGAAGGACCAGCCAGACTCCCTCCTTGGCTTATAGACAGCTATCTTTTCCCTGTGTCTCTTCACATCATCTTCCCTGGATGCTTGACTGTCTCCAAATTTCTTCCTTTCATAGGGACACCAGTCGCACTGGATGAGCGCTACCCAGTCCAGTGTGACCTCATTTCAACTAGTTACATCTGCAGAAACCTTTATTTTTAAGTAAGGTCACATTCCGAGGAACTGGGGCTTAGTACTTCAACATATAAGTTTTAGATGAGCACAGTTCAGCCCCCAGCACCAGACTATTCTGGACAAAAGTAAAACACAAGTTACCAACATCCTGAATGAGAAGGAGGAGATCCTAGAAATTCTAGATATCAAAATACTAATAAGGGAATATTACAAACAACTTTAAACCAATAAGTATGGCAATGTAGATGATATTGATAATTTCATCTGTGAAAATGAAAAAAAAACCATTATATAGTATCTTTGTTTGAACCATTTGATTCCAAAAGGAAGCCTCTATGTTTACTTATATTTTAATAAAGATGGTACTAATGTCTTGGCCAAAAAGAAGAAGAAGAAGAAGAAGAAGAAAGAATCTATCAATGTGAATTCACAATTTTAAAAGCCTGAAAAAAGAAAAGCCACATGATCATCTCAAAAGATGGAGAAAAAGCATCTAATATAATTCAACACCTGTTCCTGATAAAAGTTTAGCAAATTAGGAATTGAGAGAACATCCTCAACCTGACAAAAGTAATGGGACGAGAAATGGAGAGGGTCAGGTCCGCCTCCTCTAAGACTCTGTTATTCCAACCGGGTTGTCCTGAGGGAAGGGCAGGGGGCGGGCGACCAAAGCATTTACTTTCTTTTTTTTTTTTGAGTCGGAGTCTCACTCTGTCGCCCAGACTGGAGTGCAGTGGCCGCTCCCGGCCACCACAGCCTCGACCTGCTGGGCTCTGGCGATCCTTCCGCCTCGGCCTTCCGAGTAGCTGGAACTACAGGCGCGCGCTACCAGGCCCGGCTAAGTTTTGATTTATTGTAGAGATGAGGTCTCGCCAAGTTGCCCAGGCGGGTCTCGAACCTGTGGGCTCAGGCAATCCAGTCACCTCAGCCTCCCAAAACGTGGGATTACAGGCTGAGCCACCGAGCCTGGCTAAAGCATTGACTTTCTCTGACGATCTCTCTGATGATCTCTACATAATCAAGGCAAAAAATTACTTCCAGTGTATGCATGATAAAGACTGCCAATCTTTTCCCACAAAATATCTTCTTGTAAAATAAGAATGTTTCTTACACATCTACTCCGTGACAACTATGATACTTTTGAAATTTGTATCATATGTGTACACTTTGGCATCTGATCTACTTAGAGCCATTTACCTAACTCAAGCAGTATTCCGTCTTCTTTTTACACCCCTCTCCTCAATTCTGACCATTTGAAAATCATTTTGTCATTTCATTTTTTTTTTTTTCCAGTTTGGGTCTCACTTTGTCTCTCACTTTGTCTCACTTTGTCACTCAGTCACTTTGTCATTCACTTGTCACTCATGGCTCACTGCAGCTTTGACCAACTGGGCTCAGGCGATCTTTCTGTCGTAGGCTCCCAAGTAACTGGAACCACAGGTAACTGGTGTGTCACCATCCCTGGCTAATTTTGATTTTTTTGTAGATATTAAGCCTTACAGTGTTGCATAGGCTGGTCTCCACTTCCTGGGTTCAACTGATGCTCTTGCTTCAGTCTCTCAAAGTGCTGAGTGTGAACCACCACACCCGGCTAATTGTCATTCTAAATGTTACTTTCACTTTGCCTTAACTTATAAACACATATGACTAGTTAATCCTCATATGCACTGAGTATTTTTTATCTGGCTTAATCTACTTGTGACTATCTGTCTCATTTTTTTTGGTTTTGTTTTTGTTTTTTTGGTGTCTCATTCTGTCACCCAGGCTGGAGCACAGTGGCACAATCATGACCATCATGGCTCACAGCAGCCTTGACTTCCTGGGCTCATGCAATCCTTCCACCTCAGCATCCAGAGTAGCTGAGACTATAGCCATGTCACCACTCTCAACTAATTTTTAAATTTTTTGTAGAGATGAGGTTTTACTATGTTGCCTAGACTGTTCTTGAACTCCTGGGCTCAAGCAATTCGCCTTCCTCAGCCTCCCGAAGTGCTGGAATTAACAGGTATGAGCCACCACACCCAGCCTAGTTTTTTTTAAATTTTTTAAACTATGAAGTCACTTATAATTTATACCATTTACTATCTAATACATAATTTCATTTAGTTTCCACACCACTCTGTTATTTGTGGTATTATTAATCTCTACTTTAAAAACTGAAGAATCTGTGCTTCACAAAGATTAAGTAGCTTGATTAGTCTCACACAGCTAGTTAATGGTAGAACTAAGATCAGATCCCAGATCTGGCTGACTTCAAAAGCTATATTCTTCACACTAAACAGTTGCCTTTTTTGACGTTATTGTTCTCTCCTTGGGTTATTCCTTTTGTTCTCAAAGATACGAGACTTTTTTCTCTTCTACACTTACAATTGTAGACATTCATGACATCCTGTTTCCTCAAGGTGATCTATCCCTCTGAGACGCCAACTCAAAAAAAAGTTACTGTTCGCCAGCAAATAAAGACTTTGGCTTATAAATGGAAGCTTTCTTATTAAAAAAAAAGTCAACTCTTTTATTGGAGATTCAAAGTTATAAGAGAACATTATATATAAGACCCATTGAAGGCAATCTGTTGTTAAAATCATGCCACAGAGTTCAACACTTTCAATGCGTAATAATCTTTCTCTGGAAATGTTATTCACTTACACTGACGGCATTAATATCTGAAACATGTCCCGTAAAAGACTGTCTACACATTCCATCTCGAATATCCCATAATTTGGAAGAGGCATCACAAGCACCAGAGACAAAAGTCTTCTTGTCAGGACTCAGAGAAATACTCATCACATCTCCAGAATGTCCAGTGAACGTGGTGGTCTGCTGGGCAGTTTCAATGTCCCATAAAGCACTATCATTAGAAATAAATAAAAATATGTAGGATTATTATCCCCTCTTACATCAGTTCTTATTACCACCCTGAAGCCCCAAATCACTGTTCTTCTGGAATAGACTTACCAAGTTGTGTCTCCTGAACTTGTAACAATTTGAATGTCATCTAAAAAACGACAGCAGGACAGATAGCCTACAGCAAAGAGAGTAGCAAACTTTAGGTTATCATTGGTCGATAATTCAGTTACCATAAGAAATGGTGATGTGTATTTTAAAAACATAATAGGTAACAAGTGTGTGTCAGAATAATCTTTGTCAAAGTTTATTTTTATTTTTTCTTCTCCCACCTTCCCACCTGTTAGTGTAATCTACAGTTCTGCTTTTAGTTCCTTTAAACTCTATGCTGTCTACAACTACATTGTATCAACACACACTGCCTAGGCATTTAACTGTTAATGACATGGTGCTCAACACTCTGAAAGTTACAAAGTTGAATAAGATGCAGACCCTGTCACCCAGTACAATTACCCAAGGAAGGGAGATACTCCTTTAACTGTGTTATGCACCTTGAAGAGATACTTTAAAACTATTGTGAGAAATGAGAAAACATCAGTGAACACTATGAAAGATGTGGCATCTGGATTTAGCATTCATCAGTGTTTCAAAATATGAAAATGGCAGTAAAACACATCATTCTAGAGATTTTATAAAAGCACGTTTGGACAGCAAGGTAAAAAAACCAGATGAACAGAAATCAGGTGAGTGGCAATAAATGCCTAATTAACACTGTTAACCAAATACTACACTACAGGACTACGGGTATACACACTGGCAAATAAAACAATCTACTACCCTAGTGAAAAACATCTCATCAATGTACTTGAATTACTGTCAATTATAGAACTGAGTACAGATGATCCCATAACTGTTATCAGGTAACAGAAAATAAAGAAAACTATACTTTGGAGTTTTTTTTTTTTGGTATGTTTTTCATTTACTTGAACTTTTTTGCAGGACATGTATCACTTTTACAAAATCAAGACAGCTATTTTTGAAAGAAAGATAAAATTATAGCCATTGCATGTATGATCATAAAAGTGACTGCCAGGCGTGGTAACTGACTCTGTAATCCCAGCACTTTGGGAGGTGGGAGGATTGCTTGAGTCCAGGAGATCAGGACAAGCCTTGGCAACACAGCAAGACTCTGACTCTTAAAAAGGTAATGTTTCCATGATTCACAGTAACTTCTATTCTTATCCAATTAGTCCTCAACCTTTAGCTAGCTGAGCACAATGTGTCACTCACTCACAATGTGTCCTTGATCAGCTCATTCTATGAAAGGAGTCTGGTTTGGTGGGAAAGAATACTATGTAGTGAAGCTTACCTGTGTGACCTGGTAATTCTCGGCTCACTCTCACATTACCCTCTCTGGTTTTTAAGTTATATATAGAGCAGATGTTGTCCAAGCCTCCACAGGCAACGTAATTACCGGAGGGAGCATAAGCACAGGTCATCACCCAGGAGGACCTCAAAGGAATAGCATGCATCTGCAGAACACAGACGACACAGAACACTATTACTACTACTATAAAAACAGTCATTTATGTTGTACCTCTATTTACAATTAAGTAAATATTATTAAAAATTAAATGTATTTAAGAAACATTAATCAAAGAAAGTAAAGAATGTAATGGCTTGAGAAAGCAAACAATGAAAAATAAGACAGAATGCATATAGAAATGCCTCTTTTTAAAATATTATCATTAAAGAAGCGTTCTTTTTAGCAACATTTCTTTTAATAGAACACGTTTCAATATTAATATAGACATTTGAAAAATTAAGTGTAAAATGTCAAAGACTCATGTATTATGGTGCTCAAAAGAGAAATTTACTCCAACATAACACTGAGCAATAAAAAGGAAGCTACTAAGCAAGTATCAGAGTCGATTAAACGGTTCTTCAACGAAGAGATTGCATTGCCATCCTTCTTGCTAACAGGCACATATTGTGGGATCTCATTCAAATGATGGTGAGAGTTTTGCCTTGATCTAGTCACACCACTGTTCGATGCCTAATCTATCCCAACAGCAATCATCTGAAGGTCAGATGGGAACATTTAAGGCATATGGGCATACCAAGGCTTAACAGCCCATGCAGGGAATTAGCACATGGCAGGATTACTACTGCACTTTCATTTAATCTCAAATAATACTTTTAAAATACAGTTTTGTTTTAGGTAAATATAACTGAAAGACAGTAGGCTTAATGCTGATTAACACAGAAAGCCTGTTATATTACAAAACTGCTTTTGCTTTAAAATCTCAATCAGGCTGAAGTTATTGTTAATTTCACAAAATACTATTTTCAGATGCTAATAAAAATACTGATATGTATACAACACAGATCATAATGGTGTTTGACTTATGAAAGTATCCCTGAAGCTTTTTCGCTAGCATGCAACGGCTGAAAAATCAGGGATATATTAAGAGAATCCAATCTTTTACCACCAAGAGAACTAAAGTTGTAATCTGCCTCTGAACCACTGTATCTGCTTTTCTTTTTTTGAGTTGGAGTCTCACTATGTCACCCAGACTGGAGGGCAGTGGCACACTTCTGGCCATGGCAACCTCGACCTGATGGGCTCAGGTGATCCTTTAGTTTCAGCCTTCCAAGTAGCTGGAACTACAGGCACGTGCCACCATGCCCGGCTAATTTTTAATTTATTGTAGAGATGATGTCTCGCCAAGTTGCCCAGGCTGGTCTTGAAACCACAGCCTGAGTCAATCCTCTCACCTCAGCCTCCCAAAGTGCTGGAATTATAGGCATGAGCCACAGCGCCCAGCCTGTACTTGGTAAGTATGCCAGAAAACACAAATCAACACCTGGAGTGGGTCAAAGGGAAGCTTCATACTAGCCATCTAACTCACTCACAACTAGAAATAAACATCTCAGGATTACTGTCATGTTGGGGAATAAGAATTTTTAAAAATTCACTTGTATGTGAAAATGGTACTCTTTTCTAATATTCAAATATAAAGTATGAGACTAAAGTAAAACACACTCAACAGTACTCCTGTAGTCATCTTTGGAATTTAAAAAAGAACCAAATATTAAAAGTAAACATAAAGACAAAAGAGAAGATCTAGATTACAATAAATAGAACAAATTTATCTTAGAAGGCAGTTTCAAAGTTTAAATAGAATAAAGGAAAGAACTGGTGGACAACACATCAAATAGAAGATTATTTAAAAGAGTTATTAAGAAATTCTACCTTATTTGTTGTATAGCTATCCCAAATAATTAATTTTCCATCTTGGGAAGCACTGACTAGTAGCCTAGAGGAACAAACACAAAAATAATTTGATCCTTAGAGGGAAAAAAATAGTTTAAATTAATTATGCATTGCATTAATGTAGAATAACTCAGAAAACAAAAATACACTTTTTCTAGTTAAAAACTCAGTACCGAAAAATGTTCTTCCAACTTTCAAAAAATGTATGCTGCATGCCAAAAATTGTGACGATAAATCATAAAACAAAACGTAGCAACTGGCTAAAAATGTTTCCAGCTATGATTCAACTTTTTCACAGTGATAACGTTTTAGTTACTATTCAAGATTTTGGTAGGTATTAGCTGACTGGTTTAGTATTTACTAACTCACTTAAATTTAATGACAATAAAGTACATATATGCCAACAATTCTATTTCATTTAATCTAAAAGAAGCAATTGAGAGCCTCTCGACGTAGCAGTACTATAGGTACAAGGTAGGCTATCTCTCATGATCGTGAGGCTTCTGCCACCTGGTGGAGATAAGACATTTACCCATACTTACAATAATAAATCAAATACGTGGAAACTGTCAGAAGACTGGCATATGATAAATGCCACAGAAGAAACAAACAATGACTAGTTGAGTTAAAAAAGAAATTTTAACTCGAAAAATCAAATTTTAAGAGCTCATGATAGGAAAAAGTCTGTATTCTAGAAGAAGGCTAAGTATGAATCAAATTTTAAGAGCTCATGATAGGAAAAAGTCTGTATTCTAGAAGAAGGCTAAGTATAACCAATGACCAGAGGCAGAAAAACACAGTGGCTGTTTCTGGAAGTTTTCATCTTCCAGGTGTACAGAGTTTGTGAGAAAAAGGAAAAATAAATTAAGAAAAGCAGACTGGGCCTCAACTACAGAAAGCTTTGCCAAGCTAATGAGTATGAACTTTTGCCTAAGTAATTATTAGCCACTGAATGTCTTGTTTTGTTTGAAATTTTTATCTTTTACCACAGTATCACATTCAGAAGATAGTAAAGAATATACAGTGAAAAAACTCACCTTCCTAGGCCTACTCCCAGCCACCCAGCTCCCTTTCCTATAGATAAATAGCATTGTCAGGTTCTTGTATAATAATCACTTTACACAAGGGAAGATCTGATAGTGGGGGATGGAATAGAACACAAGAAAATTCTTTAAAAATCAACTGGCACCATCAGCATGAGTTGAGAAGAACATTAAGTACAGTAATGAGCTGACCATCAGAATGGATAGGAAAACAATGTGGGATGGTTATTTTTTTTTGTTTTTGTTTTTTAGAGACAAGGTCTCACTCTGTTGTCCAGGCTGGAGTGCAATGGCATGATCATGGCTCACTGCAACCTTGAACTCCTAGACTCAAGCAGTCTTCCTGCCCCAGCCTCCTGAGTAGCTGGGACTACTGGTGTGGGCCACCACTCCTGGCTAGAGAACATCTTTAAGTAAGGTAAAAACCACAAACATTGTTTTAAGTTACTCTATTTTGATTAAATGTTTGCTATATTAACAGGCAAATTATTTTTATCTTAAACTTCTTTAAGAAAAAGAACAAAACATTTGGCCTGGCTTTATGTCCATTGTCAATTATATCATTTTCTATATCCCTCTAAGAGGCATATGTTCTGTATTACTGTACTCAAGTGTCTCACTTAGAGCAGCAAATGAGGCTTCCTTGGCTTAACAATTTTACTGTTTCCTGGAAGAGAAGACATGTGAAATTTCTATTAAAACATAATTTCTTGGTTTGGACATTTCCCAGTAAGGTTAACCGAACGAGTCAACCACTGTGGCAACAGGCAGATCTGCTAATGCCAGATACCCTGGAGAAAAGCACAGGCTGCAGTGTAATCCTATTGCAAGTGGTGAATCTTGATGACCAAACCATGACACTGCGGGCCAGGTGGCCACCGGATATATGCCTATACTCTCAAGAACATCAGACCAGCTCATTCGATCACATGCATTTCTGTGTGGGGGCCAGGAAAGTAAAAGATGCATTCAGTGAAAGTAACCTTGTTTCAGGTAACTCCATCGTTTGTGAATTTATGTGATAAGTAATTACAAGCAATATCCAGTAACTTGCAAGTAAAAGGAGTATAATAAATATTTGCATATTAACTGAAATTTCAAGGTTAATATAACAGTAAAAATGCTTTTGATATATTAAAAAACAAAGTCTAATAACCCACAGCGAAGGAAATGAGTCCACTTCTAAACAGTGGTCCTGAATCATTTGATAAAGGGTATTTCTGAAAGGCAAATTTATTTTCCATCTTAAAGGTTTTAAGCTTTTAAAGTGTCAACAAGTATTTTTAGTGAAATCAAAAGTGTTCATATAAGATGCATTCTCTGCAAACACTTCATAGTGCTTTTAAACAAAGAAAATATAAGTGATGATTCTTTTTTTTAACTTTTAAGATGTGGGGTATGATTAAGGGTTAGGTAAACAAATGTTCATTACACAGGTACCCTTGTTGATGAGATGTGCCCCCCACCTCTGGCCATTTCCTATTACCGCCAATCCCTAAGTGATGATTCTTAATGGAAATAATTCTGCTGACAGTTTGAAAATGGGAAGCACAAACCTTGAGTCACATCCCCAATGCATGGCATAGATTTTAGCCAGGTGGCCCCTCAGTGTGCGCCTTGTCCGCAATTGCATCCGACCCAAAGTGTCCACATTTGATGTGATCTTTTGAAAGCAACAGAAATGTTATTCTTTACCTTAGACAAAGCTGAGGAGATAAATTAAACTAGAAACACTAAGTCAATAGGTAAAAAAGCAGACAAAAAGTAAATTTACAGTAATTGTAGGTAATTTAATATATGTAATTCCACAGAGCTCAAAATGCTCATGAAAAATTATGATTCATTTAAAATAATCTTATGTGCTATTATAGGTAAGAATATCTTCTACAAACAATCAAAAAGAATAGACAGATCTCTGAACTTTAGTAAAACACCATCCACAAATAAAAATTCAGTAGCAGATGATCAAAGAATCAAACATGTATAGTTTTAATTGTTTATAAGAAAAGCAGTGTTATATTTGTAGAGCACATAAAGTTCTCCTTAATAAAAGGATCACTATTAAAACAAAATCTTCCTAAGAGTTTTTTTTAAGAAAATCAGAATGTGACAAAAAGAAACCACTTAAAAAGAAGCTTAGTCTATATGAACCTACAATATTTTTGTAGCATTTATTTTTTCACAGACATCTATTTTCTTTTTTTTGAATTTACTGCAGAAATGAGGTTTCACAAAGTTGCCCAGCCTGGTCTCGAACCCCTGGGCTCAGGCAATCCTCTCACCTTTGCCTCAAGTGCTGGGATTATAGGCATGAACCATTGCACCAGGCACAGACTTCTATTTTAACAGTATACTTAAAAAAAAAATTTGCACCTATACAGCAGTTGACAAATTACAAAGTGTTTTCATATAGAGAGCTCATGAGTTTTTTTTTGCAATTAAGTACTAATAGAAGACTTTGAATGTCATTTGCATCAGTATCAAGTTATTGCATGTGAGTTACTAAAAAGAAATAGTAAAAAAAAAAAAAAAAAGAGAGAGAGAGAGAACAACTTTACCTGGACAAGTGTTGCATCATTACATGCTTTTCTGGCATCCTGAAGTAAAGAAAGATGACAATAATGCATTTAGATATGAAAACCTCTAGATAGGACTAAAGTAACATTTTTATTGAAAATACAGATATGCTTTTTACTGTACTACATAATCTTTATTTTTAAAAATGTTTTTATCGAGATAAAATTCACATAACATAAATTTAATCATTTTAAGGTATATAATTCAGTGGTTTTTAGTATATTCACAATGTTGTACAACCATCACAACTAATTCCAGCACATTTCCATCACTCAAAAAACAAAATGCCATATATCCTAATTCCTTCTTCTCCCCCAGTGCTCAGCAGTCACTAATTTACTTTCTTTCTCTTTGGTTTTGTCTACTTTGGATGAAATCATACAACATGCAGCCTTTGGCGTCTGGCTTCTTTACTTTTCAAGATCCATCTGTGTTGTAGCACGTATCAGTACTTCATTCCTTTTTATGGTTGAATGATATTTTATTGTGTGGATATTTTGTTTACCAATTATTATTATTATTAATGAAAACTGATGAACACCTCATTTTTTTTCATATTTTGGCTATAATGAATAATGATGCTATGACCATCTATGTACAGGTTTTTATGTGTATCTATGTTTTTGGTTTTATTTTAGTTATTCATTTATTTTTTAAAAATAGAGACAAGGTCTCACTATGTTGCCCAGGCTGGTCTCTTGGACTCATGTGATCCTCCTGCCTCGGTCTCCTAAAGTGCTGGGATCACAGGTATGGGCCACCATGCCTGACCATTTTAAACTCTCTTCGGTGTATACCTAGGAGTAAAAACAGGGGGTGATATTGCAACTCCACATTTAACTTTATGAGGAACTACCTGACTTTCACAGCAGCTCTGCACCATTTTACATTCCCACCAACAATGTCTGATGATTTAAATTTCTTTGCATCTTCACCCACACTTGCTATTGTCTGTTGTTTTTTTTCTTAATTATAGCCACTTTCGTGGGTGTGAAGCAGTATCTGATTGTGGTTTTGATTTGTATCTCCCTAATGATTAATGATGTTGAGCATCTTTTCATAAGCTTATTGGCTACACACACACACACACACACACACACACACAAACGCGCGCACGCATGTGTGTTTGTATGTATGCACTGTCTTTGAAGGAATGTCTATTGAAAGCCTTTGCCATCATTGAAATTGGGTTGTCTTTTTATTGTTCAGTTGTAGGAGTTCCATATTTATTCAGATACTAGAGCCTTATCAGAGATATGATTCACAAATATTTTCTCCCTGTCAGCTGTCCTTTCATTTTCTTTATTATCATTATTTTTAAATTTCAGACTCAGGAGTTACACATGCATGATCATCACATGGACATATTGTGTAGCAGTGGGGATTGGGTCTCAGGTGCCCCATTCCCCAGAGAGTAAACATTGAGTCCTGGAGGTAGTTTCTGAACCCTAACCCTCCTCCCCTTATTGGTGTCTCCAGTGTCTGTTATTTCCATCTTTGTGACTCTTTATTTCTCACATATGAGTGAGAACACGTGGTGCTTAGTTTCCTTCTTCTGAGTCAGTTTACTTAGGATGATGATCTCCAACTCCATTCATATTGCTGCAAAGGACATGATTTCATTCTTTTTTATGGCTGCCTTTTCATTTTTCTTGAGTGTCCTTTGACACAAATGTTCTTAATTTTGATGATGAAGTCCAATTTATGTTTCTTCTTTTGATGTTTGTACTTCTGATGTCATATTTAACTGGTGCTTAATTCAAGGTCATGAAGATTTATAATTATGTTTACTTATAAAAATTTTATACTTTTAAATGTTACACTAAGGTTCCAGTTTGTGTTCATTGTTGCATATGGTGTGAGATAGGGAGTGCAAATTCAGCTGTCCCAGTATCCCTTGTTGAAAGTATTATTCTGGGCTGGGTGTGGTGGCTCATGCCTGTAATCCCAGCACTTTGGGAGGTTAAGGTAGAAGGATCATTTGAGCCCAGGAGTTTGAGACCAGCCTGGGTAACACAACAAGACCCTGTCTCAAAAAAACAAAACAAAACCCAACTCATCTTCGACTAAGCCACCAATAACAATCACTGGGGAAAGGAGACCATCTTTAGCAAATGGTGCTGGGAAAACTGGCTGACCACATCAGAAGAATGAAACTGGACCCCCACTTATCACCACATAATAAAATAAACTCAAAATGGATCAAAGACCTATACGTAAAAACCTCAAAGTATAAGAACCCTAGAAGAAAATGTAGGAAACACTCTTATGCCCATTGGAGTAGACAATGAATTCTTGACCAAGTCCCCAAAAGCAATGCCACAGAAGCTAAGATAGACAAATGGGACCTCATCAGACTGAAAAGCTTTTGTACAACAAAAGAAACCATTAGAAGAGTAAAGAGACAACCCACAGAATGGATAAAAATATTTGCAAACTATGCATCTGACAAAGGTTTAACATCTGGGATCTACAAGGAACTCAAACGAACTAAATGGAAAAAAGCAAACAGCCTCATTACAACGTGGGCAAAGGACATGAACAGACGCTTCTCAAAAGAAGACATACAAGCAGCCAACAGACATATGAAAAAATGCTCAGCCTCACTAACTAATCATCAGAGAAATGCAAATCAAAACCACACTGAGATACCACCTAACTCCAGTAAGGATGGCTGTCATTAAAAAATCAAAAAACAACAGATGCTGGTGCTGGTGAGGAGAAAAAAGGAATGCTTCTACACTACTGGTGGGAGTGCAAGCTAGTTTAACTTCTATAGAAAGCAATGTGGCAGCTCCTAAAAGAACTAAAAGTTGAGCTTCCATGCAATCTAGCAATCCCTCTCCTGGGAATATACCCATAGGAACATAAATTGTTCTGCAAAAAAAAAAAAAGACACCTGCACACACATTCATTGCCACGCTAGTCACAATAGCAAAAACATGGAACCAACACTCCTGCACATTGAAAGTGGACTAGATAAAGAAAATGTGGTACATATACATGATGGAGTATTATGCAACCATAAAGAAGAACAAAATCATGAACTCTGCAGCAAACCGGATGAGTTGGAGACCATCATACTAAGTGAACTATCACAGAAACAAAGAACTGAATACATGTTCTCACTCATAAGTGGGCCTTGAAAATTAGTCACATTAGCACAAGGGAGGGACAGGCAGTCACTGGGCACTGCTAGGGGAAGATAGGAGAGAGGAGGGTGGGGGGCACATGACAACCCAGAGCATACTTGGGTCATTACCAGGGGGAGTGAGAGCCAGTTAGAAGCCCAAACTTCACCTGCATGCAGCCTACTTATGTAGTTAATCCTCATTGGTATCCCATATTTCTATAATGAAATAAAAGCAAACAAACAAAAAAGAAAAGACTTTTCTTACCCTATTGAATGGTCTTGTACCCCTGTTGAAAGTCAATGGATCATAGATATATGGACTTGTTTATAGCCTCTCAATTCTGTTCCATTGTACAAATATACTTTTGGTTTATGATTAAAAGATTTTTTTAAAAATTGTATCCCCTGATTAAAAATGATATAGGTTGATTTAATAAGTCCCTAGTATTCAGAATTATATTTGCTACTAAGCTTTAGTAGAAGACAAGCGCTTTGAGTTCCCTTATATTTGTTCTGGTATCTAAAAGTTGAAGTGGTAGGAAGGATGGTTATAGTATATGTCACATCATTGCAGAAAAAAATGGGGGAAAAAAAAACACTTCTTCAAAATGCTTTGCAAATGCACTGCATACACATGCTTAATATTAAACAAAATTTTAGGTCCTATATGCAAAAATAATATCTAAGGAAAATAATTTATTATGTAACAGGCAACAATTTACACTAAGCATCTCTATTTGTATATTAAATTCCCTACATGTACGTAGGTATTTATACCTAAGAATTATAAAGCAGCCTTTCAAAGTAACCTCACATTTTCATACAAATTGAAAGGAATTCTCAAAAGGAAGGCAGTGAAACAGAAATTAACATAAGGCAGCAAAGAACATATTTAATAAGGAACAAAACATTTTAGGTCCAATTTATCAGTGCATAACAAATTTAGAAGATACATATACACAGAAAAAGAGAAATGCAATTAATCCTTCCTGTTAGCCTTAAATTTTTTCCCTCACAAGTTAGGGAAGCATCCCTGTTAACTTCACTTTTTCTCTACGGTGCCTCGTACCACAGACTCCTGAGCAAAAAGATGGCACACTAAATCTGTTGAATAAATGTCCCAAATAAACAAATTGTTCCAGCCAGCCAAGTGAAAAATATCTGCCTCTGCTTGCAACAAACACTGGGTGGAAGACATGATCTTTTAGGCTACCCTTTCAACCTATTTATAAATACCTAGAATACTTCTACGTAAGGGTGTTCACAAGTAGTTGCACAAACATATGACTTGATGCTCTCATTTTTAGCCAAATTGTGGGTTTAAAGACCTCATTTACCAAGGAATTAAAAATTTAGCCCAATTTGCTACAATGAAATGAACTTCCAGAAATGATAGTGATGGTCTGAGCGATGTTCCAAAAATGGTGGAGTTTAAGACTAAATTCTAAAAAAAGGCTCTCTGATTCCAAGTCTTATGAAAATGAACTATCATTCTTTAGGCCATATTTCTTGATTTAGTCATTTAACACTATATGTCAGGCACTATTCTGTTCAACAGACAAATAAAAACATCTCTTCCTTGACAGAACTTACATTAACACCAGTAATACATTTTAAAAACTGCAAATGAAAATTACCGAATGTGAAAATTGATGCCAAAAATTAAAACATGATGTTGCAATACAAAAATTCTTTTTTGCTGTTGTTCCAATATAACTTTAATTCCAGAGACAGGAGGCGAGCCAGATTCAGCTCCTGGTTTCTAGTTGCTTAACCCAATTTAGATTTACTAATTGTTAGTTTTTTCTTTTCTTTTCTTGCCATTTTTGTTTTTTCACATTCTCAGTCCCTTTCCCACCCCCACATACATATATATGTGTGTATAGAAATATGCATTTGTAATTATTTTTTAGCCATTTAAAGATAAATTGCAGATATTTGCAATACAAGGATTCTAAAAATATCTTTAGCATCAGTTACTAGATTCACACTGAGATCTTAGTCTTATGAACATACTATTATCCATTATAAAACTGAATATGAAAGAAGTATTCCAAATTGAAGGTTGAATTCCATACTATCTACTATAACAAAAAACACAAGAACTAATATTAACATTTTTGTGCAAAAGAAAGGAAAGAGGGCTGCTTGGGACCAGGAGTTTGAGACCAGCCTAGGCAGCAGAGCAAGACCTCGTCCCTACAAAAAAATTTAAAAATGTGCCGGGCACGGTGGCATGCACCTGTAGTCTCATATGCAGGAGGCTGAGGTGGGAGGATCACCTGAGCCCAGGAGGTCAAGGCTGCAGTGAGCCGTGGTCGTGCCACCACACTCCAGCCTGGAAACAGAATGAGATGCTTGACTCAAGAGTACATATTTTTTGCTTCAACTAAAAAAACCCTAACAATTATGGAAAAAGCATAAACTGTTTCCTCTAATTGTATTTAATTTAAATCATCTATTGCACCAAATAGCATACATTTCTATTATACCATATATTTACACCATAAATTAGGTAAAAATATAGTTAGATTATATTTCTGGCAGAGTGAGGAAAAGAGGGAAGGGAGGATTTTAAATATAGTGTGATTAAACTGGGACAATAAGTACTGGGAATTTTACATACATGTGGTTACTTGAAATCATAAGAGGAGACGATTCAGTGAGCACCTGTGCCCATGACATTGTGCTTGAGATGCAGGTCAGACAGGCAGATGCAAAATTTTCCATTCAAGTACAGGTAGTAAGGCCACATGTACTTTGGTCAGCCCTGAAACAGAAATCTAATGTGCTGTGTGGGTAAGGAACTGCCACTCGTTGGCATCAGACTAAGGCCCTTACTGTTAGTTCATTTAATCCTCTACACAAACATGTAAAGTGAGCAATGGTATTCTTGCTTCACAGCAAAGAAACTGATCATCAAAAAAATTAAAAATCTTGCCCATGGCCACAAAGTCATGAAAAGGCAGTGTCCACACACGCTGAGGCCATGTCATGCTGCCTTCTGATAAAAAAACAAATCCAAGCAAAAGACTCTTGTAAGGTTTTTTAGAGGAGGATTAGACCCAATAGATAGGATTCCCAAAGAGTAAAATTGGACCAGAGGAAGCATAGTACCAGGCCAAGGAAACAACTTGATAAAAGCCAATGAGGAGTTGGGCATGGTGGCTCATGCCTGTAATCCCAGCACTTTGGGAGGCCGAAGCGAGAGGATTGCCAGAGCCCAGGGTTGGAGACCAGCATGGGCAACTTGGCAAGAACATGATTCTACAATAAATAAATAAAAAAAAATTAGCCGGGTGTGGTGGCGTGCATCTGTAGTTCCAGCTACTTGGAAGGCTGAGATGGAGGGATCACCTGAGCCAAGCAGGTCAAGGCTGCGGGAGCCATGAGCGTGCCACTGCACTCCAGCCCAGGCAACAGAGTGAGACTCTAACTCAAAAAAACCAACAAAACTAACGACGTGGGAAGGAGTAACATGTCTTCAGGGAATGGCTACAGCATAGGCTGCAGGAAAGGTTATTTGCTGCCATGTAAGGTTGGGAGGCAATGCTGCAGCACGGGCTTGGAAACTGAAACCCAACTGGTCTGAATCCTGGATCTACTACTTATGCATTACTTTGGCAGGTTATTTACTCCATTTTCTCAGCGAGTCTCCATTTCCTCAACTAAAAAATGAAATGACACCATCTACTTCACAGAGTTGCTATGAAGATTAAATGAGATGGGCGTGTGACCACATGGCCTGGCCAATCAGTTGCTCCTGCTCAGTATCCCAAGTAAGTGACATAAAGTGAAGATGGCAGAGAACTTGTTCTGGTGATGGCAGTAACATCTGACTCAGAGATTAGCCTGTGAAGCCTTCTCTGGTCATCCCAGCCCAAAATAAATCTCTCCTTTGTTTTGAAAGTTTTGTTCAGGGACCAAAGGTGGCAACTCAGAGTTCTTATTCACATCTAAATCATTAACTTCCTTGAATCCCCGGCAGTAAGTCTGGCTACGACTTCACTCCACTCCGAACCAACACTTTTCTGGTGAACGTTCCTCCTCTATCCCTAGTTTTTCCTAAACTTTTCTTCTTTTTTCTTGGAATATCTCTGTATAGATTTTTCTCTTCATTTTTTGTTTTTTCTTTTTTGGAGACAAAGTTTAGCTATGTTGCCCAGGCTGGAAGAGCAGCGGCTATTCACAGACAGGATCATGGCATACTGTAGCCTTGAACTCCTGGCCTCAGGCGATCATCAGCTGCCTCAGCCTCCCAATTAGGTGGGAACAGGTGCATGCTACCGCACCACACCCAGCTATGCTTCATGCTTAAATTAGGCAACTTCTTCAGAGACAGCAATTGCAAAAGCTTCATTCTGGGACTGGCCATAACTGTGTTCCAAGTTATCAGCAATCATCCCTGCTTGTATTTGTTGTAAGTTGCTTTAGCCTTTACTTTTTCCTGGGAAAAGTTAGGCAGCTGCCAGGCTACTAACAATTCAGTCTCCTTCCTCCACCCTGCTCACCAATAGGCTTCCTACTGTTGGTGGCATGTCTGTATCCTTTCACTTTTAGTGCTGACTTCCTTGATATTTCCCAGTGCTAACAAGGTCCAAGGAAGCATCTGTTTCCATTGCTCCACAGCAGGGACTATGGGTGCTGTCCCTGGGAGAAAGCACCCTACTTGGTGTGAGACTGACAGTTGCAGGTGTCTCCTCTCATAGCCTGCCCACAAGCTGCTGCTTTGCTGAGTTCGGCAACTCTTTTTTTTTTTAAATCTCACTCCTTCGCCCAGGCTGGAATGCAGTGGCATGCTCACGGCCACTCCAGCATTGACCTGCTAGGCTCCAGCGTCCTTCTGCCTCAGCCTGCCAGGTAGCTGGAACTACAGGCACACGCTACCACCCCTGGCTAATTTTTATTTATTGTAGAGACGAGGTCTTGCCAAGTTGCCCAGGGTGGTCTTGAACCCATGGGCTCAGGCAATCCACTCGCCTCAGCCTCCCAAAGTGCTGGGATTACAGGCTGAGCCACCGAGCCCAGCCTAGTTCAGCAACTCTTCCCCATCCATTACAGTTTCAAGTTTTAAGTGTTTTTAAAATTTTGTGAAAGCTGCATTTTCTATTTCTTATCCTCTTTACTGTTTTAGTTGATTTCCAAGAGCAAAAGAAGTCAGACATGTTCTGATTCTGCTACTAATTTTTAATGTTTTTCTGCAATCCAATGTTATAGAAGATTAATATTTTCCTAGTGGATTACAATGTAATAATATCTACCTCATCATAGTCTATCAAAAATCTATTATTTCAGGTGTGTGAATAAGAAAAAAATTATATTTGTCTTTCAACTGGAATTACAGATATGCCATTTACTTCTTAGAGACACGCAAGTCACTCTTCTATGAGGTACTCATTAAGAATGACTTCTGGAGAGTTCCTTAGAGGCAAGATGAAAACAAACAGGCCTTAGTTCTTGCTTCACATGTAAGAAAAAAAAAAACAAATAGACCATTCCTAGCCTTATACGTTATTTAATATATATAAACTGATAAACTAATAAGCTAATTTTATACATTGCTGATATAAAATACAAGTGCTAAAAGTTCAAATAGAAAAAGTTTTTACCTGAATCTGATTCCGCAGTTGTTCTGCTTCCTGCCTCAACTGTTCCAGTTCACTCATTTTTTGAATCTGTTAGCTCAGGAATTAACAAGTGAAAGCAACTATTAAAAGAGAGAGAGAGAGAAAGAGAGAGAGAGTCAGTTCTCCACTTACATCTCAATCTACTTTAATACTGACATATAACTTCTTTTTGGTCCTTCTGAAACTCAATTGAGACAGTCAATTATTACTGGAACTGAAAGTTGCTTAGTAAATATATAAATCTAAGTTATTTACTGAAGGGATTTATGCAAGAACGTGATCAGAGGATGGAAGAGAAATCCTGAGTTGTATTCAAGACTGAATTATGGTACTAGAATGGAGTCCAGTTTAAAAAAAAAGACTTCATAAAAGCTCAGAGGGCACTAAGAGATATCAGCACTTGGATGCCTGGGTAGGCACCTCAAACATTTCGTCAAAAGGAACCCCACCTTACCCCTAAGACTTCCCCTCTCAGTAAATGGCAATTCCATCCTTCCAATGGTTTAAGCTAAAAATCTGGGAGTCATCCTTCTCTGTTTCTCTTAGACCTCCTCCATCTACTCCATCAGCAAACCATATCAGTTATTCCTTAAAAATATACACAAGCTCTAATTCCGGTTACCTCTGTTTCTAAATACCTGGGTCCAAGCCACCATCATCCCTTGCCTGGCCTCCTTTCTAGTGCCCTTGACCACTCTTCAATCTAGTCAAAATAGAGCTACTAGACATCCTTTTAAAATGCAAGTCATGCTTCCGCTGTAAATGCTCCAATGGTTTTCCACTCCACTCAGAGCAAAGTGGAACTCTATCCTGCCCTATACAATCTCTTACACACACAAACACACACACCCTCCGACCTCATCTGTTACCCTCTCACCCACTCTGCTCCAGCTGCTCAAAAACTTCTGTGATTCTCCCTGAGCACACTAAGCAGGCTCCAGCCTCAGTGCCTTTGCATCTGCTTTTCCCTCTGCCTGGATCACTCTTGTTCCTGAGATTTTCATCACCTGCTCCCTAACATCTGCTCAAATGTGACCTTCCCAGCAGGGCCTTTGCTCCCCCAACCACACTTCTCTCCAGGTCCCGCACCCTGTCTTATTTTTCACTGTAAGACTCAACACCATCTAGCATGCATTAATTTATTTGCGGTCTGTTTCCTCCTGATAAAATGCTTCCTTGAGGCAGGGTCTTTGTTTGCTTTATTCTTTGCTATATCCCATCACTTAAGACACTTTGGTCTCCAGTAAGTAAGCCAACTTGAAATGGCTAAAGAAATAAAGAAAAATTCACTGTAAGGATTTAGAATGAATCACAGAACAAAAAGGCAAGAATGTCACTACCTCAAAAAGAGACTAGAGACTAAAAACCAGAAGTCTTCTTTTTTTCCCTGTCCGCTTTTTCTCTGCATATCTGCTTTGTCTTTTTCTTTCCACAGAATGACTTTCTCTGCTTCTCTAAGTACAAGTTTGTATCTTTTCACATCAAGATTGCAGTCCAAAATGACTACTGTCCCAGCCTCAAATTCCCATAAAAGAGAATTCCCATGAGAGGGAATGTGTTTCTGGCATGTATCCTTCATTCACATCAACTATAATACAAATATTTGTTTATTCTTTTAAGAAAATTTATCCCAAAACTTCTGAGCAACAGAATTAACTTTAAATTCAATCTGTCAAATGAAAAACATAAAAGTATTTGGATTAGCTGGCCTGACATTAAAGTACAAAGTATTTTGAGAAGAACTGATCTAATATTCTACTTCCAATTTAATCTTGTGGTACATCTCTCCATTTGTCTACATTTTCTTTATTTTCTTCATAAGTCTTAGTTTTTTATTGTTTAACAATTAAGTATGTTCCTCAGAGAGGACCAGACGGGTTAGATTGTAGCCAGTCTGGAATTTCATCCTGCCAAACTGATGCTAAACAGCATGCAGGTTCCTGAAAGTCACAACCCTCATTGCCCTTGCTGGACCATACCTGAGTTACTGCTGGCCCAAAAGCCACAAACACGAACTCTCAGCTTTCAGCTACTGGATATACAAAGCTACGCATACATGACGGCCCATCATACTCTCCCCCTTCCTTTCTAGTATAATAGGGGAGTTAATTTTTCTGCATTTGGGCCAATTCCTCCACCAGTGATTTAAATTCCTACCTTTTCAGAAATCTTATACTTCTAGTATATTCAATCTCTTACTTCTTTTCCTTTTCTTTATTAAGAAAATTTTCTAACAGAAAAAAATAGAGAAGCTAGTATCATAAACATCCCTAATATTAATCACATAGGTTTACAAAATGTTAACATTTTTTGCTGTTTCTGCTTCATTTTTGTTCTTGCTGAAGTATTTTAAAGTCAATTACAAACATCAAAACATTTCACCCTTACATACGTCAGTATATATCTCTAAAAATATCAGAAAATTTGTCACCAAGCTGCAATTCCATTTGTTAGCTACCAAAACCAACAAATTATTTAATGTTTAATACTGAACAGGTTTTCAAATTTCCCCGACTCTTTCATCATCTGAACATCTGATTTGTTCAAACCAGGATTCAATTAAGAACCACATAATACATTTGGTTATGTCTCTTAAGCCTTCCATCTAGAAGTACCCACCTCCTGCTTTCTTTTTTCCCTATGATGCTGACTTATTAGAGAAGCTGAGCCACTTGTCCTGCAGAAGGTATACCATATTGTTTACTTCATTACAGCACTGCTGAGCTTGTTTCCTTCTCCTCTATAATGCCTGTAAACTCCAAGGAAGTCAGCTCTACAGGCTGGATTATGTGCTGGTTTGATGTATTCAGTAAGAATCCTTCCAGGTGACATAGTAGACTTCATCCTACAGCACATCAGGATGAACTTAATGTCTGCTTGTGCCACTTTTAGTGAAGCTAAGCGTCCTCAGTGTGTTCAGGTGTTAACAGCTCAACCCGTCTACTATAAAGTTGTAACCCCTGCCAGGTGAAGTGGCTCACGCCTGTAATCCAGGCACTCTCGGAGGCAGAGGTGAGAGGACTGCCTGAGCCCAGGGGTTCTAGACTACCCTGGGAAACTTGGCGAGTTGAGATATTCCTGACCCAAAAGCCACAGCTTTGTCTCTACAATAAATAAAAAAAATTAGCTGGGTGTGGTAGGTAGCCTGTGCCTGTAGTTCCAGCTACTTGGAAGGCTGAGGAGGAAGGATCATTTGAATCCAGCAGGTCAAGGCTGCGATAGCCATAATCATGCCACTGTACTCCAGCCTGGGTGACAGAGTGAGAATCTGTCTCAAAAAAAAATTGGCCGGGCTTGGTGGCTCAGCCTGTAACCCGGCGCCTTGGGAGGACGAGGTGAGTGAATTGCCTGAGCCTGAGGGTTCAAGACCCGCCTGGGTAACTTGGTGAGACCTCCTCTGTACAATAAATCAAAAAAATCAGCCGGGCATGGTAGTGCGTGCCTGTAGTTCTGGCTACTTGGAAGGCTGAGGCAGAAGGATCA